GATTACCAATGGAGTGGGAACTTCCAGTAGAAACACAGGAAGTCTCCAGTTTCCAGAACAATAGAACAAGTCAGAAGCCAAGCCTGGGGTGAGAGACAAAGAAATGCTGAGAAAATCAGACAGATCTGTAAAATCTGTGACACAGAAGAAAGCAAGTAAAAGACCCAGGTGTGGCAAAGGTTCTAAGTGACATTGAACACTGGTTTGGGTAGCTGGGACACCTCACACATGGCTAAACAAAAAGAGAAAAGGAAAAATTCTGTTGGAGCCAAGGCGAACATAGGAACCAGAGTGAAATGAGTGGATGGGAGAGAGAACCGCACTCAGGATGTCGTTTAACTGATTTTCCTGGGCACCTTCCATCTGGAAGTTCCTGAGGGTCTCCTCCCAAGGAATTTACAACCTAGTTAGAGACCGCCAGATAAATAATAGTGCAGACCACAACGGGGCTGGATGGTCCCAGCCAGTTGTTACTGAAGCAGGAGGAAGGCGGGTGAGTTTTAGTGGGAAGGTATGTAAAGATTTCACAGAGGAAGACCCATCTGAGTTAGAACCCAAACAAGAGTGGGGTGCGTGGTGAAGGAATTTGGGGCTGAGGCAACTGCTTGAGCAGAGCCTCAGCATGGCAATTAAAGAACGGTCAAGTGGGTCTGCAAGACAGCAGCCAGGGGAATGCTAAGGAGAGATGCCATCAGAAACATGGTCAGGGCCCTTTCACAAAGCCTGAACCCCAGACCTCCGGGTCTAGCCATTAAGGAAACATTAATGTGTTTAAAAAGTGGAGAGATATGAGCCACCCTTTACTGTGGCAGCATCGTGATGGTTTCTCTTTAAATTCATGATCACTCTTCTTTAGAGAAAATGTTCCTCACTCCTAAGAAAGAGAAGGCCACAAAACAGGCTCTCTGTCTTCCTCCTCTGCCTGTAGTGACATCTGATGTGATACCTCAGATTACTGCAGCCACCTGACTCCAGCCTGGGGAGGGCAGAGTGGAGAGAGGGAAGGAAGAGGTCTTTGAGGACATGAACAGCCATTGAAGGGGCCCACCCTGACAAGGACCCCCATTGTTAGACAGAGTTCAAAAGAGCCTCCCTTACGCCCACACTCTCCTCCAGCCATTGCCCAGTCCTCTGCTCCTCTTAGGGTAAAACTTCTCAGAAGAGTTGTCTCTACTCCCTTACCTTCCATTCCCTCTTCAATTTACTTCTGTCCCCATCCCTCTCTTGAACTGCTCCCATCAAGTCCCCAGGAACAACCTCCGTGTCACCAAATCAGGGAGCTCTTTCCTATCTCCTTTCGATTTGGACTCTCAGTAGCTGACTCCTGCCTTCTTGAAACACTCCTCTCTCAGCTTCCAGGTCCCTCTTGTTTGCCCTCCTACCTCACTGGCCACCACTTCTCAGTCTCTCTTGCCAGCTACTCTTCCTCAATTCAAAGTGTGGCTCAGCAACATCAGCATCATCTAGGAACCCATTAGAAATGCAGATTCTTGGACTCCATCTCAGATCTACTGGTCAGACTCTCTGGGGTGAGGCCCAGCAATGTGTCTTGTACCCAGTCCTCCAGGCGGCACACACTGAAGGTTGAGAACTGCCTATCTGAACCTGTTAGCATTCCCTGAGGTTCGGTCCTGGATTCCTCTTCTTCTCTTTGACTACACTTTCTACCTTGATGTTATCATCCAAGCCCATGACTTTGAAAACCATCCGTATACCGACAACTTCTAAGTGTACATTTTCAACACCACTCTCCCTCCACCCCCTGCTGAGTTCCAGAATCCCCCATCCGGGGCTTACACAGGCATCTCAAATCAACATGTCCAAAATGGAAGGAACTTCTCTAAAACCTGTGCCTTCTAAAACTTGGTCTTCCTCCATTTCTTACCATTTCAGAATCCCACCACCCTACACCAAGCCCCTGGACCACTGCAGAAGCCACCTACCAGGCCCTGCTCCCACTTTTGTCCCCTCACGCCCCACACAACAGAGCGGTCATATAAGAAGGCAAATCAGGCTGTGTCACTCTTCTGCTTACATCTTCAAGGGCCTCCTATGACATTAAATTAAAATGTAAACACCTTGCCCTGGGCTGTTAGGCCATGCACAACCTGGTCCCTTTCTATGTGGCTGCCTGGATTCCTTTTGATGTCTGAGGTCAGAGACTGTAACTATGTAACTCACGCTAGGTGCTCAGTAAATTACTTGTTGAGTGAAATAATTCTCCTTTTGAAAACAAGGTCAATTTAGAGTCTGACTTCTTTAGCTTCTCCATATTTGCTGAGGAGGATCTATGTGACGTTGACAAATAACTTTGAGCCAGGACAAAGGAGATGTGAAGGGAGACTTTCAAAGAATGACTGGATGGTGCCATGAATCTCAGCACAGCAGGGACCCACGAGGCCACCAGATGAGTCCCCAGAGGACAAACCCTCAACCCCATTCCTCACTTAGTCCAGAAAATGGCCTTCCTTGTTAGAAGGCAATATAATCATTGTAGTGATGGGAGAGGCAACTGTAAATGAGGTTGGGATGAGGAATAATGTAGGGCCATTGCAAAACCTTCCTCTTGTGGACTGCCCACTCCTGGTGCTGTTCATGGGGTCGAGGAAAGTCCCTAAAAATCTACAGGCCAGACCACCAACCCCATTATGGCAGTTTTTAAAAATGGCCACAAATTCTTGGATACTCCACCCATTGAGAGGTGAGGTCAATGGCCCCTGCCCTTGAATCTGGGTGGGCACATGACTACTTTGGTCAATAGCAGACAGTGGAAGTGATGTTATGTGACTTCTGAGACTAGGTGGGAAGCGGCAATGCAGCTGCCATCTTGTTTGCTGAAACTCTTAGGCTTGGAGTCCTAAGAAGCCACGTAAGAAATCTGTCAAACCTGAGACCACCATGCTAGCAGGAAGCCAGGCCAATGGAGAAGCCATGCAGAGGCGCCCCGATCAGCACACTTGACCTTCAAGTCCCCCCAGCCCAGGTGCCAGTCATGCAAATGAAAGAGCCTTCAAGGGACTCCAACCCCCAGCTCTCAAGGAAGCCTCAGACTGAGTCTTCCCAACCCTGGCCCCAGACATCATGGGGCAAAGTCAAGTTCCCAGTGTGCCTGTCCAACTCCCTGGCCTACACAGTCCACGGGCATAATAAAATGGTGGTTGTTTTACACCATTAAGTTTCGGAGTAGTTGCTACACAGCAATAATAGCCAGAACAGGACACAAGACAATCCATTCTGGTTCCTAATCCCCCCCAAGAAATCGTCTGCCTTTCAAGCCTTTTCCAGGTGGGCGGGAAGGAGGGAGAGCATTCAGCCAGTAGGCATGGGATTCTTTTGAGAAAAAGATGAGTTTTAGCGTCTTCTAAGTGTTAAAAAGAAACAACAGGCCCAAAATGGGGTCACGTATGCTCAGGCCCACCAACACTGAATACCTAAGCTAATCACAGTTTCAGCCTCTCCCAGGAGTGGAATTTTAAACCAATCCGTCTGGAATTTCCTGAGCAACACTACTGAGGTAATCCGCCTGATAAGCCCCTCTGAGTGCCCCTAAGGGAAGGTGACCTGGCCTGAAATACTCCACTTTTTTAACTTCTTTGTCCCACTCTCTTTCTGCCTATATAAACCCGACATTTTGTACAACTCCTTGGAGCTCCTATGTATCTGCTGGATGGGCTGCTGTCTGATTCATGAATAGATGGATGAAGTCAATTAGATCTTTAAATTCACTCCGTTGAATTCTTGTTCTTTAAGATAACCAAGCGTGACAGAGCCCTTCCTGCACAGGGAAGCCAGTCCCTTGTCCAGTCTGATCTGGTCACCCAGCCCCACTCCAGCATGATACTCAAAATGATGGGTCACAATCACAGTTCACCTCAAAATGAGCCATCTCTGAGGAAAGAAGGTAAGGCTCTAAAAGTACTACCAACTTAATCATTACGTAAGACTGATCGGAAAGATCACTGCCCACTTCTAGGTGGCCGCCACCCAGTTCTGTTACTGAATCATCTTCATCCAATGGCGGTGTTTTCCAGACCTCTCATTTCCCCTTCCCAGCCAATCTTTGAGGCCCGCACCCACATCATATAAACCTTACCTGGCCCTGTTTCACATTACTCTGTACAATTCTGGCTTCTCCCTTTCCTCACCATGTGTCCCCTCCCATTTGGGAGATCCATCCTGGGACACAAGTATTTAATCCAAATCCTGTTTCCAATGACTATTTCAACATTCTTAAGCCTCTTTCTTACAAGCTTGGGGGAGCCTCTTGCCCATAACAAGGGGACTAGATGTCCCATTTTTCCCAGGACAGCCCTGGTTTATGCCTGTTGACCCAGCTTAATTAATATTGGTGCCTCTTTCACTGTCAAAAGTGCCTTAATTTGGGTAATAATGTATATGGTCCCCTTAACTCTCTCTCATCCTTCTGTCACTTCATCCCTGGCCATCCTTTACATGAGACAAACCCCTATCTAATTTCTTAGCAGAAATAATGAGCAAGAACACATATACAAGATACTTCATGTAATGTGCAGAGTGGACTTGTTAAATGGAGTGTATTTTTCTCATTTGTGAATATCACAATCTAAATCATCTCTTTTGTACATAATAAGTAGAAACTGAGTAAATGAACAGTTGATGGTCAATGTCCTTAGTAGGCCTCAAATTTTAAGGATTTATATGAAAACTCATAAATCCTGGGCTTCATCCAGGCTAGCAAAATTTTTCCCTCTAGAAATTTCTGGTTACCAAGAAAGTTCCAGAAATTGCCTTCTCATTCCCTAACCTTTCATTTTCTCCATTATGTAACGGGGGACCTGGGGCTTTGGGCCGAATTTCCCTTTAAAGATGATTTTTATAGTCAATGAGCAACGTCAGGGAGTGATGACAGAGGGAGGCGGTATCTCCTGATGCAAGTGTTTAAGCGAATCCCAACGCGTTTTTTCCTGTGACTCAGATTCCCGGCCCTGCTTGGCAGCATCCTTTAACATCAGCTCCTGCCGCCGGCCGCAGGTGCGCTCGCCCGTGCGCGTGGCCGCGTGGTAATTGGTCCCCGCGCTGACTTCCGCGCGGCGCCGCGGCCGCCCTCCCCGCCTCCCGGCCCCCGCCGCGCCTCCCCGGCCGCGCGCGTCGCGGGCCCTCGGCGCCAGTCGCTGACAGCTGCGGCGCTGCGGGCTGCTCCCGTCCTCCGGAGGCAGGTAAACAGCCTTGTCGCCTTCACATGCCCAGCGGGGGCGGGGGCGGGGGCAGAGGACCTGAGAGCTGGGGGCCACGGGGGGCCGCGGTGACCGAGAGCGAGAGCCCGTGCCGTGGGGCCGGGTTGGTGGGGGCAGACCTTGACCGTGGGGAGGGACGGGGGCTTCCTGTCGGGCGCGGGGCGCGGCGGGCTCGGGCTGCTCGAGTTTGGGGATGACGCCGCTTGTTTTGCCATTCTGATGCCTTCTTTTCGGCATGGGAGCGGGGGCGCGGCTGGCCGAGCCCCCCGGGAGGGACGTAGGTGGTGCCGAGGGGTCTGTCCGTCCCCCCACTGCCCTCACGCGTGGCCGAGGCGGGAGCCGCAGGGGCGAGTCGCGCGCAGAGGGGCCCCGGGCCGGGGAAGCCAGTGGCTCGCTGGGGCGCTCGGGGGGGAGAGCCGCCTGGGCCGCGGGCTCCCGGCGTCCCTCCTGCTGGCCGCCCCGCGGAGCCGGCGGGCGGAGGCCGGGGACGGGGACGGGGACGCCCCTGGGCCAGGCCGGCGCCTCCCGAGACCCAGAGGGTGCGCGGGGCGGGGCGGAGGGAGCGGGCGCCCGCCCGGGGCCGGGGCCTCGGCGGGGTAGGAGTCCCGGGGACCTGGGGGCCGCCGCCGCGCTCCTCCCAGCAGGAGGAGCCTGCTGCCATCCACGGCTGCTGTCCACGGCTGCCATCCGCGCGGCCAGCGCCGTCCCCGAGGAGGCCGCCGCCAGCGGGACTCTGGCCACCGCCTGGGAGGGGTCTCGGGCGGCCTGGCCGTCCACTCGCGGGCCTGGGGCGTCCAAGCCGCCGGGACAGAGGCTCTCCTGCTGGCCCCAGGTGTGGCAGACCCGCAGGCTTCGCTTTTCACTTTCTTTCCTGTCCCTGTGGAAAGAGAGAACTCAGCCCTCGGTGGGGCTCCGAGGGAGGGGTCCCGGCGGGGGGATGCCCCTCGGTCAATCAGCCTCCCCGACCTGTGCAGGAGGCGCCTTCACGTTTGTCTAAACAATGGGGAGAAATCCATTCCTACTGTCCCTTTCCGGTATTTTCCTTTTCTCTTTGGAGTAGCTATAGCAAGTAGATTTTTTAAATCGTAAACCCACCACCATCATATCCACCCTCACCATCCCTAAGCCACTGCTTTCTGGTTTTCAGTCTACTCGTCTCCAGATTCATACACGACACAGTGCGGTTTCACCGCCCTGATCCAGATTATCCGCTGGCCTCCATCAGTATCCCCGTGGCCGCGATATCTCCTTGAACTTAGAGCATCGGTTTAATAAGCAGTTCCCGACGTGCTGCACGTTTGAGTTGTTTCCCTTTTCCTTACTTAAAACTCCAGGTAGAATAGGATTAAAGATTTTTACAAATCAAATTATCAGAAAAAAATAGGAACAAAAAATTGAATTAAAATGCGAGACCTCTGGAAAATTAACTCTCAGATTTGAAAAAGAAAAAAATCACCAATGAAAAAGAACGATTTTGCCTACACAAACACCGAGAAGCTCTTACAATGAAAAAGAACTAACCAGAAAGGCAAAGAAAGCAGAGAGCTTTCTGTGATTTGCATATTATTTGTATCTGACACAAGGCTTCCATACTCGTGAAAGGAAAATAACAAGATTATAATGGATAGATGGTGAAACAAATCATTGACAAAATAAAATACAAATTCTAGCAAGACTGGATTATAATTTTATGTCTAATAACAAAAACAACAAAAGTAATAGTAATAGTAACAGCAACCCCTACTGGGAAGGTTGCCCTGAAATTTGCATATTCAGTCATCTGGGGAGGTGGCAGGGTTTTGGGATTAGAAAAATGGCTCTGCAGCTAACTTTGGGACTTTGAACAGGTCATCTACTTTCCTAATCCTCCTTTTATCCATTCATAAAATAGAGGAAATGATACCTACTTCCGGAGTTTGTTGCCGGGATTCATTTTAACCATCTACATAAATCTGACCTTTGGAGGTATACCTTTTTTCTCTTCCTAGTCACACCCCGGTGAGGACTTTGTGAATCAGTGCAAATTTTTTGTAAAGTGATCTGGTGATGCATTAAGAAGCTGGAAAGCCATGACCCAGAAACTCCACTTCTGGGAATTCACTGGCAATGGAAGAAATAAACAAGGAAAAAGAAAGCCATATGCAGGCACATATGCTGGGGACAATGATCTAAAATTAGACCCACCTGGGAAACAGCCTAAATGTATAACAGCAGGGCAGCAGCTAAGAGAATCATGACACATTAACTGAAAGGAACATTATGTAACCATCAAAAGTCATGATTTGGGGAGAAAAAAACTGGCAAGTCAAAGTGCAAGTTACTAGACTTTATCTACTTACTCATACCTGAATGCATGTGTGAAAGCTCCAAAAGGAAAGGCACCAAAAATGAAATTTAATAGAATAAAACTGAAGTTTTAATAGAAATGACCGGTGATTTTAATTTTCTTTTTGTTGACGTGTTGCTTTTGTAAATAATGTAATTTTTAAAACAATTCACAGGTCTCAATTTTGTAAACAAAAGGGACTCAATTTTCTGTGTATGAAAAGAGAGATTGGTGCTGCTTTTTTAGCTGACCTCATTTTTTCAAGTATTGTCTCATTTTTTTCTTGAATAGATTTATTAGTGGTTTAGTAATTTATATATTAGGGTTTTTTTAAAAGAAGCCGTTCTTAGATTTATTTATCAATTCTGGTTTTTTCTTTGTTGTAGTTTTCAAGGCCTCCTGAATATATTTGAAAACTGAGCAGTTTCAGCCAAGCCGAAGCATTCTGTCTTCCCAGAGACAAATCCAGCTTAGCTGAGCCACACAGATGTACGTACCCTGTGGAATCTCTTTGGTCTTGTAATGGTTGAAAGTCCCCAACTGTCACAGAAAGTAAGGGTCGGGGAAGGGCTGTGATTACAAGCCACTGCTCTGGAGGCCACTTGAGTCTATATATGTAACTCACACCTTTGCGTCATCCTTTCCTGTAAAATCAGCTTCATTTTGCAGGGAAAGGGCCATAGCTTTCTCTAGAATAGTGCTGAATTATGGTAAGGAAGCAACCATTTTAAAATAATATTAATAAAACAAATAACATAAACATTTCTGCACCAAATTAACGGGGAAGGTGACCATCAACCAAGTGACGAAAGGTTTTATCAGGTGAAAGGTTTTCTAAGCTGTGTGGTTTTAACTTACCTATCCATTCTCCCTTTTCGGATCTTATTTCCTCTTCCAAGGTAACTATATCAGCTGTGAACTGCTACATACGCATTAGCCATTCACAGCGTGCCTGTATCTAACCCGGTGATGGGCGCAGCGTTATGAAAGAATCCTTGGGTGATTAGCGTGTGCAGCACTGCTTACAGGCAGGAGAATTTTTTTCTCAGTTTGTTAATCCTTTTTCTCCTACTATATTCTACTTATTGCTGTTATAATATTATGTGATCGTTCCAAAAGGAGGTATGCCCTTTTATGAAAAGCATTATAAATGTTAAGTGTTGTACTTTTGAGGGCCCAGCTCTGCAGCCTAGCTAGCAGTGCAATTTCCTGGGAAGCTTTTATGGATTCCCAAATCCCATCGCTAGACACTCCCAGGCTGTGGGCCTGGAGAGGCTCCAGCAGTGTTGCTGCTGGAAACAGCACGGCAGGTCATTCTGATGATGGACCAGGTTCGGGTCCTTTGCCCTGTTCAAACCGGGGCTGGGCCACAGGGTACCAGTGAAAACCCCCTACCCCAAAATGTTTTGCAAACTTTTGTATTGTTTGCATCATATTCTTTAAGGGGCAGTGATCTCAAAAAGATTAAAATAGGACAAATGAGTTCTACTTAGCTCAGGAAAGACAGGAAGTTTTCGCCGAGAGGGGAGCGGTGGGGGATACGGGGGGCTGTTTGGTGCCACTTTCCCATTTCACCAATTATGTTTCAAGTTGTAACATGTTCTGAGTATCAGAAGTTTGGCCCCTGGCACACGACCATTGGGCAAGTTCCTACCAGAACTGAGAATTCCTCCTCTCAGTCCCTATGTATAAATGGGAATAGGATGAATGGGGTAATCTGTGGATCTTTTTTGTACCTTCTTTCTAGTTCCATTGCTCTGCCATTCTGCTCATGCACCAATGTACATGATCTTGTTTATTGTAGCTTTACAATGCGTTCTAACACCTAGCAAGCCAAGTGTGCCCTAGATTTTCTTCCTGTTCATTAATTTCTCCAGTCTTCTTAATTTTGAGTATCATTTCATCAGGTTCTTTAAAATCTCCTTTGAATTCTGACTGATTATGTTGACTTTATGGGTTATTTGCAGGTGAATTGGTATCTTTCAGTATTGGTTTTCCCCAACCAAAAAATGTGTACATCTTTCTTTTCCAGTCTCCTTTACGTCTCAGTAAAATGTTATAGCTTTCCTCATGTAAGTCCTACTATCTATTTTTAAGTTAAATCCTAGATATTTTTAATTTTTTATTGCCATTATGAGTGGAATGTTTTTTCCACACTAAACCTTATAAATAATTACAACTGATTTGGGAACTCACTGGTTTTTTTATATATTGATTTCAAAAATGGCCACCCACATGAACTCACTTATTTATTCTAAGACATTTTTGGGTGACTTTCCTGGATTTTCCAGATAGAAAATTATACTTGGCTAGAACTTCCAGAACCATCTAAAATAACAGTGATTGCTTGCATCCTTGTCTTGTTCATGACATTAATGAGAATGCCTTTCCTCTTTCCGTTAAGGTAGGGTGTGGGCTGTGTTTGTAATGCCAGCCGTGATGGAAAGGAGCTATCCTTCTAGTTCTAGAGAAACCTTTTTTAACAATTTAAACTTAAAAAAATTAGGAATGTTGATTTTCATTGAAAACTTTTCAACATCTGGAAAGAATCTTAGGGGTTTTTTTCCCCTTACCCTATTAATAGAGTTCCTGATTTCTGAGCCATCCTTGTATTCCTAAAATAATCCTTATTGGTCGCAGTGTATTCTTTTACTAAACCGTTAAAATCAGTTTGGTAGTATTTTGTTTTGGATTTTGGCACCTGTATTCATGGAGGCTGGGTGGTCAACAGTGTTGAGGCCTGCACTCTAAATACTGGGGTTTGAATCTCGACCCTTTATCCCCTTAGCTATAAACGCTCCTTCTCAGGAAGACATCCAAATGTTTATCTCTGCTGAGTTCCAGGTTCCTAAAACAATTGCCTAAATTGATACTCCTGCTGGAATGTCTCATAGTTGTAGCCAAGTTCATGGGTCCAAATTTAAACTCTTGGTTTCCTCTCCCAAGCATGGCCCTCCACCAGTTTCCCCTACTTCAGTAGATGCTCTCACTGCCATCTGCTTAGTTATGAAAGCCGCAGACCTGGGCAATTGTCACTTCTCCATCCACTCTAACAGCAAGTCTTAATTGGTTCTTTCTGCAAAACACATCTCATTTATTCACAGTTCCCAGGCTGCATTGTAACCATCCCAGCCCACACCTCCATCTTCCTTCAGACCCTTCCTAACTGGTCCCCGCATTTCCTTTCTTGGCCCCCTAAATTTTCTTTATGCAACAGTCTGGGTGAGCTTTGTAAAAACAGTCCTGTCGTGGTACTCTCCTGAGGCCCTTTAACGACTCCTCACTGTATGCAGAATCAAAGGGAGACTTTCTTTCTGGCCACTGAGGCCCTCGGGATCTGGCGCTCACCTGCTCTGATCTCATCAGGCCACTTGCTCTCTGTCTTAGGCTCCAGACACTTAGGTCCTTTTGGTTCTCGAACCCACCAAGCTAAATATCTTACTCACCATTGAGTCCTCAGCCTCTAGCACGATGCAAGAACCTTAGAAGACACTTAAATATTTGTTGAATGAATCAATAAGTTATTGTACAGTAAACATTACGTTATACGAAATATATAATTTTTGACAACGTTTTGTCTCCGTTTCATCTCTGGTTATTGGTCAGTTCAAGTTTTCTATTTCTTTAAAAACTGGTGCATACTAGTGATTCTATGAAGATTTGTCAAATGAATTCTAAAGTCGATTTTTGTAGTTTACATAGTAGAAAAGCAATCCATCTCACTCAGGTGTTTAATTCATAAAACAAAGTTGTTTCTAGTAAGTTTTTACCCTTTTAAAACCTTCTTTTTCGAAGGTTATTTCCCTTTCTCTTTCCCAAAATAGAGCTGTTGTGTTTCCAATGATACGTGTTTGTGTGCATATTATATTTTCCAGCAACTCTTGATTTTATTTAGAAACTCCACATTTTTCTGGGTTTTATTTATTAAATTCTGCTTTCATTTCTGTTACTTCTTTCTTTATAACTATGACCCTTTATTTTGAAATTTTCTTTTTCTGTTTTCTTCTCTTTTGAATTGAATAATCATTTAATTTATTTTCATGCTTGATATTCAATTACATTACCCACACTCCTTGGATAGTCATGCGGTTTCCTTTATTTCCACATCCCTCCCCTCCATTAGCCAACTTTCTTTTTTTCAGCTAGCCTGATAAGTGTAAGTGATATATCTTTTTTTTTTGGTCTCATTTTCTCTAATTCTTAGTGATTTTTAATATTTTTTTCGTGCCCTTTTGGCTTTCCCTCATCTGTAAATTATCAGTTTGTATCTTTTGGCCATTTTTCTGTGGGAATTACTGTCTTTGCAAGAATTCCTAGTAGGTTCTAGAAATGAATCCTCTGTCGGTCTTAGATACTACACATGTTTTTTGTTTACCATTGTGGGCTCTTTCTAATAGCTTTGTCTTTGGTGTTCTTTGTAGTTGTTGAACAAGAATCCTTAATTTTTATGTAATAAAATTCTTCAATTATTTGCCTCGTGTTTGTGCTTTCTGTTTAGGAAGTCCTTCCTCCACTCTTCCGGGTCACAAAGGCATTTACCTGTATTTTCTTCTCGTGCTGCACTGTACCTTTCACAGTTGGTCTGTAATCCATCTGGAGTCTGCTTTTGCACGTGTATTAGGGATCCAGTTTTGTTTTTCTCCAGTTTCCCAGAAGTGTCTACTAAACAAACCTTCCTTTTTCCATTGATCTGTGGTGCCCGCTTTATCATATATCAAGTCCCTACTAGAGTTTATATACAAGGGTTTGTCTCTGAACTTGCCATTCTGTTTTCCTAGACTTTTACCATACAGTCTTTATTACAATGGCTTTGTAGTAGCATTTAATGTCTGATATGGCAGATGCCCTCCTCTTTTCTCTTCCCTTTTTTTTTTTGGAGGAAGATTAGCCCTGAGCTAACATCCACCACCAAGCTGCCTCTTTTTGCTGAGGAAGATTGGCCCTGAGCTAACATCAGTGCCCATCTTGCTCTGCTTTATATGCGAGATGCTTGCCATAGCATGGCTTCTTAAGCAGTGCATAGACACACCCCCAAGATCCAGGCCAGTGGACCCCAGGCCGCTGAAGCAGAATGCACAAACAACCGCTGTGCCACCAGGCCAACCCCTTACTCTTCCTTTTTAAGGTTGAGTTTGCTATTCATGGACATTCCTTTCCCCTTGCGAATTTATTGAACTTCTCAAAAAGTCCAACTGGAATTTTGGTTGGCATTTTATTGAAATTATATGTTCATTTGAGGGTAATTGGCATCTTTGTAATGCTCAGTTGTACCAGTCAAGACCATGAACTGCCTTTCCATTTTATCAGATCATCTTCTACGTTCTTTATTGGAGATTAAAACTTTTTCTCCCAGTCTTTTTCTTTTTCGTTCTTTCTTTCTTTCTTTTTTCAGTTAAGGCCGTTCCTAGATATTTTACAGTTTTGATTGCTATTGTGAATATCTTATTTTAAAAAAAACTTTTTTTCTAGTCAATTACTGCTGGTATAGAGAAATGCTGTTGACTTTTGTAGGCTGATCTTGTATCCCACAGCCTTACTGAACTCTCGCCCTGGGTCTTGTGTTACCTGTCGAGTCTGTTGGATTTCCTATGTATATGATCACAGTCGTTGCAGATGACAGCTGGAGCGCCTTCCTTGCAGTTCTTGCACCACTTACTTCTTTGTCTTTGCAAATGGCTTTGGACGGGACCTCCAGTCCTGTGACAATGGACACTTTTGTCTTATTTCTGATCTTAAAGGGAATGCACTCAGGGGTTATCCATTGAGTATGTTTGCTGTTTTTATTATATAACCTTTATCAAGTTAGGGGAGTTTCCTCCTATTCCTAGTCTGCTAAGAGCATTTTTCTTAGTGATATGTAGGTATTAACCTTTATCAGATACTTAATGTTTTGAAATGTACCGGAGGATTAAGTCTGACATTCCCAGAGAGTATCTTATATGACTAGTGTCATAGCATAGCCTGGGATTCAGAAAGCCAGTGTCTATTCCCAGAAATTTCACTAACTGACGCTGTAGTCACGGATTTCTCACTTGACCTTCCTGAACCCTGGTAGCCTAATTTATAGAGTGACGGGTTTAGATTAATGATATAAGATCTTCCTAATTTTATCACAAACAGAAAGAAATTCTCCAAGATCTCTTGTAAGTTTTGAGCCCCTCCTATCTTTAGAAATGATTCTCTACTTCAAAATGTAATTGCTATTTTTAATACTTTTTCTTCTTTTTTTTTTTAAGATTTTATTTATTTCCTTTTTCTCCCCAAAGCCCCCCAGTACATAGTTGTGTATTTTTAGTTGTGGGTCCTTCTAGTTGTGGTATGTGGGACGCCGCCCCAACATGGCCTGATGAGTGGTGCCATGTCCACGCCCAGGATCCGAACCGGCAAAACACTGAGCCACAGAAGCAGAGCGCGCAAACTTAACCACTTGGCCGCGGGGCCGGCCCCAATACTTTTCTTAATTAAATGTTGATTTGTTGTTCTCAACTGATTTTAAAATGATCTTGTCTTAATATATTCTACGATTATCCAACTTTATCCAGAATTCAATTTTAATGAAATACTGACCAGCGACACATGCCTGTGTCTCTGATGCCCTGTGCCGGTATCTCCAGTCCGTGGTCATTCCTCAACTCCAGACGCACCGAGCTAACTGCCTACTGGTATCACTTGTCCCACATGTAGCTTGATGACAGTGTTGCCAAGGCCAAACCCCTCATTTATTTCGCTCCAGACCTGTTCCACCTTCTGTGTTCTGTCTACACAGTTGCCCAATCCAGAAACCCAGGCGCCACCTCAGCTCTTCCCATCTCTCGTCTTCCACTCAAACCCCAAGCCCTCCAGAAGCCACCTTCTAAATCAAACCACCCGTTACTCTCCTACCCCTGGCCAAGGCCGCCATCCTGTACTTTGACGACTGAAGTAGCCTTGGGACTAGTTTCTCTGCATCCTGACACATACACACACACAGTCCTCAGTCCATTCTCCACAATGTTCTTTCCAAAAGGGAACCCAGAACTCTTTAGTGGCTCCTCAGTGCCCTCAGGTCCAGACTACTTCATACGCCTTCTAATTAGGCTGACCATATAACCCAGCAATCCGGACTGGGACAGCCTTGAGAATGAAAGGGGCACTATTAATATTTGCACAGGAACAAAACCTGTAAACCATGTTGAGCAAGTCAGGTGTCTGCTCACCTTGCTTCTGAGGCCCTTTGTTACCTGACCCCCGCCTGCCTCTCCACTGCACGCCGAAGCTCCACTTCCATGAAACCCCCTGGGGCCCGCAGATCTGCCAGTGCTCTCTCTCACCGTCTCCACTCTGAATGCTCTGTGGCCCCATTCCCCTCCTATGCCCGGCTCCCCAAGGACCGAGCCCCTCTCTGTGCCTCCTTTACCGTGTGGTACCGTCAGCTGCTCGTGTGTCTGCATGAGCTTACAGAGCTGTAACTCTTAGGACCTTGAACGAGGTGTGTTCAAAGCCCAACTCAGTGTTACTCACTCCCCTTGCAAGCCCTTCTTCCTCCCTCCTTGACCGTTTCAGATAACATCTCCATCCGGCCAGAGTCTGCCATAGTGGACGGCACATGAAATAAATGTTCATTTAACCAAACTGTGGATGTTAGACGGCTGGCCATTGCAGAAAAGAATGTTTTGAAAATATGGTTCACTTTAGATATCCATTGTGACTTTAGTTTGGTTATTTCTTAGGCTGTATTACAGATGTTGTCACGCTCATCCATTCGTTCGGCATTTGTTTTGCGTGTCTGTGAGTCAGGCACTGTGTCTAAGCACTAGGGACACTTCTGAGATCAAAATAAAACTCTCTCCCCACACCCGGGGGAGCGTACACTTCCCTGGAGAAGAGGAACAGTAAGCAGACAGGAAAGAATAGATGTCAAGTTGGCATCGCTGGTCTGGAGAAAAATGAACCAGGGTAAGGAGGGGGACAGGACTGCTGACTTAGCTGGAGTGGCGTGGACAGCCCTTCTGAGAGGACGTTAGAGCAGTCCTGAGCCATGTAAGTAACGGGGGGAAGAGCCTTCAGGCCCCGGGAACAGCAAGTGCAAAGGCCCCAAGTTGCGAAAGTGTTTGTTGGGTTTGAGGCGCAGGGTGGGGCCGGGTCACATGGGGCCTAGCCCGCATGGTCAGGACTTTGGGTCTTATCCTGAGCATCAAGGAGAGGCACAGTGTGACCTGCTTATTAGAAGCCTGTCTCAGGCTGCTGTGTGGGGAACACACAGTGGAGGCCAGAGGAGAAGCAGCGAGGCTGGTTGGAGGCTGCTGTAGGAATCAGGTGAGAAGTGATGGGGGCTTCAGCTACCACGGGGGTGTTGGGACATGTGAGAGGTTTGGGGATTTAGGATTCATTTTTAAGATAGAGCTGATAAGATTTGCTGATAGATTCGTTGCATGCTATGAGAGAAAATTCAAGAATAACTCCAGGCTGTTGGCTGGGTTCGGCTCATTGGGGTGAACGAAAGAAGTGTTGACATAAAACCCCTTGGGCTTGGGAGTTACTGACTGGGGCGCTTGTCTCCTAGTTCCGTTTCTGGAAGTGTGTGAGCAGAAGTATGAGCTGCAACAAGGCCAAGAGCTGAGCAAATGGAGCATAGGTCAGGGACACAGGCCTGCAGAAGACCAGGGTGCCAGGAGACGTGGGCGCAAGGAGGAGGCCAGTGAGCATGTCCCAGGACCCTGCCCTCTCACCCCTACCCAAAAGAGCCTCCAAAAATCCTAATTGGCATGATCTGAGCAGTTTAACTAGGCTTGTAACTTTTGAATATATTTATGTTCACTTAAGACCACCAAAACATTTCAGTAAAGATAGTAGAAACATAAACAGGATGCTAACTCATTTGTTTGTTTAATCATTCTTCTTCCTCTGAGTATTATCCCATTTAGTCTTTGTCTCTGAAGGTTATGGAGAATAATTTTCTCATATTTGATGCCACTTTTATTTGGAGATAATCCCAGTGCTGGGGATAAGACTAACATCAGTGTTAGAGGATATGCCATGTTTGGTTTTTACGGCACGTGATGATATTTTGGAGTGTGTGGTTCCATGTGAGCTACAGTAGACACTGTTTAATAATCATTTCACTATGTGTCTTTGATCTCTGCCCTTGGAACTGAGTGCCCAGGGCATGTGAGATCTTCAGTCAGAAAGGAGATTTTTTAATTTGATGAATGTACACTCTGCAGAGGGGCATAAATTATCATCCTGGGTACTTGATTTGTTTGTTTATTCCTAGACTATGCTAGCCCTTTTATATAAGATATGTTTCTTTTGTACCAAAACTTAGGAGAAAACAAGTCATTCATAAACCATTAAATGCTGAACTAAAACTGAGTGAGTAACTGCACCTCTTGTGACATAGCCATTCTTACCCCACGTTGGGCAGCCCCATTTGTCTGTTTGTCTATAGAGAAAAAGATGAATTTATAAGTGGGCTTGCAAAATCCTGCGTGTTTCCTGTTTTGAAAAAAATTGTGTTCCTTTGAGGAAATTCTTACCGGCATTTATCTGTTCAGGGGATATTAACTCCTTCACTTAACAAGTATCTTTTGTGGGCCTGCCCGGTGCCAGGCCCTGCTCTAGCCCCTGAGGAGACGGCAGCAAACAAGAGACTCGTCCCCTGCTTCCGTCCGCTGAGAAAGGAAGACAGGAGCAGGCTGTTTGGAAAGTTCTCTCATTACCACAGCGCCCGTCTCGGGGTCTTCCTAACGACATTAGACTCACGAGGCTTCCACAGGGGCCACACCAGTGTCCTCAGGGCAGTCCACCCGCAGCCAGGGACTTGTCTCCACCCCACCCTCCGTGAGTGAATGCTCAGGTGCAAGGGACTGAGATCCACATTGGTGGGTCATGGGTCCCCCCGGCGTAGAAGCCCCAGGCCCCCCCCGGAACTGGTATCCCTTTTGACAGCCCAATGGGCACAGCTTCCAGGGTCCCTGCAAGGACGTGCCTGGTTGCAATAATCACGGTTCTCAAGAAGCTGGAAGCCGTGGCAAGCCCCCCAAGGTGTTTACAGCTCCTTCCAGTCCAGGTGCAATGTATCAATCAGAGGTTATTTTTACCATAAGCAACATTGGTGGCGTTCCACCTTTATCAAGTTTCCAGGAAACAGAGCCAGAAATTATTTTAAGATCCAGTTTGTCCTTAGAGAAGGAGAAAGAGTTGTGTTAACCTTCTCCTTACGACTCTTCTGTCATGAGTGCTGCAGAGAAGTGCAGAGTGTGACATGCCTTTATGACCAGGTGCTGATGCCACTGCTGTGTGTTCATTCCTTATGCAGCCAACGTGAAGTGGTCTCACTGTAAACGTAGGACACTGACACCCTCTTCATTTTGCAGATAAGTCATCATGGTGAAAAGCCACGTAGGCGGCTGGATTCTGGTTCTCTTTGTGGCCACATGGAGTGACGTGGGGCTCTGCAAGAAGCGACCGAAGCCTGGAGGATGGAACACTGGGGGGAGCCGATACCCCGGGCAGGGCAGTCCTGGAGGCAACCGCTACCCACCCCAGGGCGGTGGCGGCTGGGGTCAACCCCATGGTGGTGGTTGGGGTCAGCCCCATGGTGGTGGCTGGGGTCAGCCGCATGGTGGTGGTTGGGGACAGCCCCATGGTGGTGGAGGCTGGGGTCAAGGTGGCTCCCATGGTCAGTGGAACAAGCCCAGTAAGCCAAAAACCAACATGAAGCATGTGGCAGGAGCTGCGGCAGCTGGGGCAGTGGTTGGGGGCCTCGGCGGCTACATGCTGGGGAGTGCCATGAGCAGACCCCTCATTCATTTTGGCAATGACTATGAGGACCGTTACTATCGTGAAAACATGTACCGTTACCCCAACCAAGTGTACTACAGGCCGGTAAGTGAGTACAGCAACCAGAAAAACTTTGTGCACGACTGCGTCAACATCACGGTCAAGCAGCACACGGTCACCACCACCACCAAGGGGGAGAACTTCACCGAGACCGACGTCAAGATCATGGAGCGCGTGGTGGAGCAGATGTGCATCACCCAGTACCAGAAAGAGTACGAGGCTTTTCAACAAAGAGGGGCGAGCGTGGTCCTCTTCTCCTCCCCGCCTGTGGTCCTCCTCATCTCTTTCCTCATTTTCCTGATAGTGGGATGAGGATGGCCTTCCTGTTTCACCATCTTCTCAATCTTTCTTTACCGGGTTGGGGAAGGGCTGTCTACCTGCGGCCCTTTCAGTGGTGGTGTCTCCTTGCTTCTCTCTTCTCACCCGTAGGCTAATACGCTTGGCACTGATGGGCACTGGGGAATGCAGAGCAGACCCCGGATGCTATTTATTCAAGCCCTGTTTGAATGAGTCCTTCGTGGGCCAGTGCTGGGCTGGGAAGAGGGTAACAGCAAATAATCATTGGTTGAGCTAGGCTTATCTTTTTGTCTAGTGCAACAGATTGAGGGTAAAACAGTTCTCAAAACAGCCTTCAAATACCTTTACCTAAATACTTCCAGCTCCTTCTTCCAGCTAAAGCTCAGTACACTAATGCCTCATCTTAGCAGTGATTTTGTAGCAATTCGAAGAAATTTTCTCATCCGTTTTAAGAAAACCTGACTGAGTTTTCCTGTCTAAACAGCATTTCTGCCAAACTTAAAAGGAGGCCACATGATACCCATTCAAAAAAAAAAAAACTAGAAATCCTTAGTTCTTGGGCCCAGGCTCAGCCAGCTGGAGAGCGTGTGCCCTGTGTCTACAGAGAACTGTGACAGTTTGCATTTTGCAGGATGGGCTGCACAGCAGCTCTTGCATTGAGAGTGAGTATTCGTGCAGCACTAGACCTCTGGGCAGAGGACATTTTCACAGGGAATGAACGCAACTAGGCTTCTGGGACTAAAAAAATCCAACATTTGGGAGTGGTGCCCTTGGAGGCAAGCTCCCGTTCTGGATGTTTAAAGCACCTACATGTGGCATTCCTTTCTTTAGTAAACTATAAATAATTAAACTATAGATAATTAAGACAGTAAAAAATTAAATTACTTCTGGACACTGGAGCAAATCTTTGTTTAGAAAGCTGGATGATTTTGACGTTGTTTCGGTGAAGCTAGGAGATTTTAACAGAGGGAGCTGCAGCTGTAAAAACACCGTTGTTATAGAGGATTATGGAATGAAGAAAATGACTAGTGTACAAAGAAAAGAAATGCTTGCATTTCTTCATTGCTGTCTCATGATCATCAAAAACCAGAATTAGATTCAGTCTTTAGTTTCTGTAATTGGCTTTTGAGTCAAAGAATAGGGGAGGAATCAAAAAAAAAATCTTAGGTTGGAGATGACAGAAATATGATCCACTTAGGGGGGAAAAAGTTTTGTTACTGTTATTTAAGTAAAGTAAAATTATTCCCTGGATGTTCAATATTGTCACCTCGCAGATATATATTACTATTCTGCAATGTTATTGGCTTGCACTGTGCAGGTATTCTATGGAAAAAAAAATATATATATATATATTGCATATGACAAACCTAGACATTTTGGTTAGAGCAGTTAACATCTGAAGTATCTAATGCGTTACCTGTTTTTGTAAGGTACTAAATAACCTGATTTGTGGGAAACCCTTTTTCGTGGTCCTTAGGCTTACAGTGTGCACTGAATAGTTTTGTATGAAGATCCAAAGTGGTCTTTGAAATATGCATGTACTTTATATTTTCTATATTTGTAACTTTGCATGTACTTGTTTTGTTGTATAAAAAATTTATAAATGTTAGTATCTGACTAAAATTAAACAGGAGCTAAGATGAGCATCTTCCATGGAGTTCGCAGTTGTATTCACTGTGGAGCCCTGGGTTGGCAAGGTCAATTTGGGGGTTAATCTGAGCAGAGTGGCCCCTTCAGTCCCCACACCGCCTCTGATGGCCAATGTTTCACGTCCCCCCTCCTGACACTGCCCTCCGCCTTACTCCCAGCCACACGCCAGCTGATCTCTGCTGCCCTGTCCTTTTTTCCTCGATTTTCCGCAAGTACCTAAGTGTGCTTGGCACTAGGTCAACGGCCAAGCCACTATTGCAGCAGAGGAAGACAGTCCTTGTACTCTGGAAACTTCTTTCTGTCCTGGAATTTGAAATAGGGGATTTTCTTGATTAAAATGAAACTTAACAAGCTCTAAAGTACCTACTTTAAGCCTGCCCCCCGAAATCAGGTTATAAAGATCTCCAGACCCTGGGAGCCCCAGTGACAATCACTCTCTGGATTGAAATTCAACAACACGTCGGTCCAGGAGGCCGCTCTCATTTGTCACCATCTTTCTCCTCATTCTACACGGTTCCTGCCTTCTTCCCAAGCCTGAGGCCCTAGCCTGAGAAGCTCTCGGTGTCCTGGGCAGAGGTTTTCTTCTTCTGCAGCTGAAATTTACCAACGGCAGGAAGTAATCATCAGAGGTGACAGTAGTTGAAATCACAATATTTATTAATTCCTTAGCAAATGCCAATATCCCGCAGTCATCAGAGGATCAACTTAGAATTAAAAACGAAAAGGTGAAACTCAACACCTTGAAACCCCATCATTCAGAAAACTACTAAAACAAATGACATACATAAAGTCTTAAAAGAATTACTCAAAAGTTAATCCTTAACATAAAAACTTCTAGAACCATTTTCAGGCTGCCTTTTTGGCCATACTTCTAACTATTTAAAAATAAACTCTTCGTTATCTGCCAATCATAATTTCTCAAAAGTAGCCCATGGAGAAGACTTCAGTCATTCAAAGCATAGGTATTTTGAGGGCTAAAGAGAACAAAATCCATCTGTATTTTTCTCAGGCCCCTGTGTTCCCGTTACTTCCAACTCCTGTGAGTTGAGCTAAAGGAATTTTTACTAAAAAATTTAAAATCAGTTTAAAATGACCAACATATAGTAACCATGTCTGACCCTCACAGAGGGTTCTTCCTGAGAATCGTCAGGTGTCACCTTTGTTTTTCCTTCTCCCTCTGAGGCTGAGACCAAAAAAGCGTCCTCTGCCTTTGGAAGGAAATTTGGGTCTATACTGCTTCGCATCCTAGTGGGAGGCTTAATCCCGGCCAGAACCTGAGCTTCCCCGGGCTCAGACTCGGACCTCACGTTGACCTGAGCATCCTATGGTTCATTTGTACCTGAGACAGGTGAGTGCCTCTCTGGCTCCTCGAAACTCCTCCCCAAGGATTTAGCTCATCCTGCATTAACCTTACATTTTCATCCTCTGCCCAACCCCTGTTCTCCAGGAAGCCACACCTTCCATTGCACACGCCTGGGCCACGTGGTACACCTCTGCTTCTGTACAGCTGTCCCTTCCTTGAGAGTCAGCGCCCCTTTTTTGCCCTGGAGCAGCACTCCTCAAACTCGCATGTGCTCACCAATCTGCAGGTCTCGACTCATAGCCCTGGGGTGGGGCCCAAGAGTCTGCGTTTCTCATGAGCTCCTTGATGATGCTGTGCTGGTTTTGTGGACCTTACTGGAACAAGGCCCTCGTGGTTCTCATACTTGAGCTTTGCTCGCAACCCCTGGAGGCTTGTCCAACACAGGTTGCTGGGCCCCACCCCAGAGTTCCTGACTCCAGAGGGTGGGACCTGAGAATCTGCATTTCTAACAAATTCCCAGGTAATGCTGCTGATCTCGAGATTGCACACAGAGCTCCACTGCTCTCCAGGAAGATGCAAAAGAAAGAGAAGCCTGCCCAGCCCTGAAATACTCCCAGAGCTGTTGGGGAGACCCAGCACCTGCCTGGGACATACCCTGGGAACTCTCCAGAAGGAGGAGAGAGGTGGGAGCTCTAGGGATGAATGGCAGTGGAGGGGTAAGGGGGTGGTTTACTCTTGCTGTCTGCCAAGCAGGAGGCCCAGCTGACTTCGGAGGCCCACTCTTCATGAGAGATTCTTCTAAACCCAGAGTGATACCCAGCCCACTAACCCAGCGCTTCTCAAACTCCGATATGCACACGAGTCACCTGACGACCTTGTCAAAGTGCAGGTTCTGAGACCACAAGTCTGAGGTGGGCTCCAAGGTTCTGCATTTCTGCAAGCTCCCAGGGGATGCGATGCTGTCGGTCCTCAGGCCACACTCTAAGAAACAAGGACCTAGAGGCCCAAGTCGTGTCTGCTAACCCTGGCCAAGACTTTGGGGAAGCCCAGGAGCCTCGGGTGTGGGGCTTAGGGGTGGCGAGTCTTCCCCTTCTCTTGATTTAGGCCTAAATGCTGCCTCTCCTGCTCTCAGAGCACAATCCGCCCGCCTGGGCCAGTCAGCAGAATCAAGCCCCCGCAGGCAGTGGTGAGGCTGGCCAGGAGCTCCCCTCAGAGCCAAGCAGAGTCAGTTGTCTCCCCGGGGAAACTCTCTCTGAGGAAGTTTCAAACCCCTGCTGCAACACCTTCCCCCAGGGCCCCTACTTGCCTTAAACTTTCAACGGAATGACTTGCTCAGTAGAAATTGCCCACAATTTCCAAGACAAGGCCAGATGGGGCAGGAAGTTAGGCCTCTGAGGCCCTCGCACCCCCGGACCACACTGCTCCCTCTGCCTGAGACACTGGCTTCTCCGCACAGCCCTCAGACGCAGGCCCCTGCCCTCACTGTGGGCTTTAAAGGTCCCCTTCCAGGCCTCCATTCAGAGCCACTCTGCCCCTCTTCCTAGACCACATTCCAGGTACTAAGGATGTTGGAATTCTCTGGCCAAATGGTCCCAAGCCACCTTCTAGGGCCTGCACAGGCCTCTTATCTGCCCGACCTTCCATGGAGGACCACAGATGGACACACCTCAATGGCCAGAGGTAGCAAAGGGGTGGCCACGTGGGGAAGGGGTCTTGGAGAGAGCTTGGACATGTGGGTCTGGCTGTCCACACCCATGAACGCAAGGCCCCCACAGGCAGTGGCTGGATTCAGGTTGAGGAAACTATCGTGGCCACAGGCTGGAGGCCTCCCTTGAGACTCTTCCTCCAGGGCCTGCCCTACAGCTGCCAGGAGAAAGCAGTGAAGGATTTTGCAATAAAGCCATTAGTTTTTACAAACATTGCAAGCCATGTAAGTGTTTTCAAGTTCTCAGACAGGCCGGGGCTCGTCGCGTTTGGTTCTGGCTCACTCCCTTCTGAGGTGTATCCAGGCAGATAAGCAGTAGACCTCACACTGGTGCCTTGCAGCCAATTTACCACCCTGGGCAGCTACTCCTTACCTTCTTCCCAGGTCCCCACATTTAATTGGTCCAAATACACCCATGCTTCCCCAGCACCTTTTTGATGAGCCTCTAGAACGTGGCTGGTGCTACAGAAATTTCTTGTAACGTGTGCTCAGATTCGTAGGATCCTACCAGTCAAATGACAACAGTCTTTTTGCTTCCGCCAGGGAATTTGCTAACACTCCCTTCTAAGATCTGACCCTTAGAGCCACAGATGGCCCATCAATTTGATTTAAAAATTATAATGAGCCAGAATTTAAAATTTTTTTAATTATAGTGCTTTCATGCAATAGAATACCACACAGCAACTAAAAAGCATGCTTTAGAAGAATTGTTCTTTACATGAGGAAGTGTGTATAATGCAATTTTAAGTGAAAATCAGAGTATGAACCTATAAGGGCAATGTATCCTTCTTTTTCCAAAGAAAGAAATAAAACATAGAAATACACAGAAAATAAAAATACCAGAAATACAGAGGCCTTTATTGCTGGGTGGTGAATAACAGATGATTTTTATTTTCCTCTGTATTGTTGTTATATTTTCCAGAAATTTTACAGTGAGCAACTATTACTTTTATAATGAGAAAGAGATCAGTAACTATTCTTTTTAATTCCGTAAATGGTATGTACCCTCCCAGCCAGTGTGCCGTTAGGGATCTTGTCTGTAGCGTTTTCTCACACTTGAGTACAGTTTTTGAAGGTGTATCATGTGCCAGGCTCCGTGCCCAGTACTTGGCATATGTGGCTTTGTCTGATCCTCATAAGGTCCCCATTTTAGGAACCTGATACCCAGAGACATTCTGTCACTGGTCCAAGGTCACACAGATAGCGTGTTCCCTGAAGTACATTGTGGAAACTCTTTGCCTTGGCTTTGTGATGATATTTAAGGGTTTGGCTCGGAGGTCCCAGGCCTAGGGCACTGGGCACAACTCCTGGCCTCTGTGAAAGGCGCCCCCTGATCTTCTGCAGGGCTCCAGCTTCGGGGGCTCGGCTGACTCCAAGTGGTACCTAGAGGAAGAGTCAGCAATCCTAAAAGCAAGCTCAGTCTAATATGCCCCCTACTCTGGACAAGACCATTGCTCGCTGTCCCATACATGCCCCACTTCATGATTTCAAGGGTGACCTTCAGCCAGGGCCCAAGGGTTATTCACAGGTGATGGCCCCCTCCAATCAAACCAGGGTTCCCTAGAGCCCTAGGGTATGGGTCACCCCCTGCAGGAGCCCCCAGGCTGGAGGCCACCAGCATGCTTGGGGCTGGTGGCCTTTTCTCCCTAACTGTCCTGGCAAATCTGCGCCTTTCCTCCCTCCCTCTCTAGATATAAACAACAAAAAAACAAAAACAAAGTCAATGTCTTAATCTTTGTTTTGGGCAAAGATATTGCTTTCAGTATCTTTACCCAACCCAATTACTTCAGAAAACCTCACAGGATCCCACTTCCCCTGCCTTCCCGGATGACTGTGTCATCTCTATTCGCCTGCCAGCGCTGCCGTAGCAAACCACCGGCTGGGGGCTTAAACAACAGAAAGGTATTTTCTCACTGTTCCAGAGGCCAGAAGATCAAAGTATCAACAGGGTGGGTTTCTTCTGACGCTTCTCTCCTTGGCGTGTACATGGCTGTCTTCTCCCTGTGTCTTCACATGGTCTTTCTGCTGTGTGTCTCTGTGTCCTCATCTCTTTCTATAAAGACACCAGTCATCATATTGGATTAGGGCCCACCCTAACAGCCGCATTTTAACTTAACTTTAAACTCTTCGAAGGATTTGGAGGTATTGGGGACTAGGACTTCAACATACAAATTTTGTGGGGACACAATTCAGCCCATAATACATCTTTCTAGAAATGTCATAGCAATGTGCCAGTGTTACTCTCGACACAGTTCAAAGGCATTCCCAGGACTGTGAGGGCCTGGTGGGGACCCCACACTCACACACTCCACCAGGCTTCTCATAATGAAAATACTATTGTCTGCATTGCTCTGTGCCCTCAAAAGACAGGGCCACTGCTCACCACTCCACTTAGGATTTCCAAGGGTGCCTACCTCCTAGTGCTCATTGCACAGCAAACAGAAATGTTTCCATTCTCGATACAGCCCCTGGAATCCAGCCACTATGCCGCCATGGCTGGCACAAAGTAAAGAGTTTCATGATCAAGCAAATTGGTTTAGTTTGGCTCGTACTTAACGAAGATCTAAAACTAAGCCAGATAATGTTCTTCCCACACACAAATACACTGCAAACACACCTGGCTTAGAGTTATGCTGATTATGAGTTAATTAACATAAAACTGAACATTAGCTGTAATTCAGTGGGTGCTCTAGAAAGCTGGCAAGATCCTATTCCCTCACGCTGCCAAATTCTGAGTACTAGGCATGCTCATCACCCTGCTCACGGTGGCTGCCCACGCATGGAATGTGACCACTCGGGTTTCTTTAAGGCCCCAGCTCACCTTCCCAAGGCAGCAACTCCAACGTGCAAGGAGAACCCCACAGATTCCAGGCCCTCCCAGCTGTGTGCCAGGTGGCCTTGCCTATTGTCAAGACTCACAGACCAGAGAACGCTATAAGAATGGAGACAGTAGTTTCTTTTTCTAGCCAATACCATATTTCTCCCTTTCTCCTGCATGTCCCTGAATCTCCTTTTATTCCAGCCCTCCTGAGGATGCCTCTTCTTTCCAACCAATCTGAAGACCCTTGTCCTTGCCTTCCTGGAGGCAACTGACATGCAGTGAGTCTGTTATTTCCATGGCATCGTGTAGACATTGAAGCTATTGCTGTAGACCAGACTAGCCCAGAAGGAGAATTTCCCGCCTTCAATCAAGGCCATCAAGCAGGGCTAATGTTTCCTCAAGAAACATCTCTGGACCTTTGATAAATGAGTGAATGAATGAATGAATGATTATACACTTAATCAAGCCCAGACTCCCCTCATAAAGTCTGTCAGAGACCATTCCTAGCTTTGAGAATTTTAAGCCAAGATTTTTCACTGCCACCCATGGAAGAGGCCCGTGGCTGTCTCTACTACACATCTGATTTCCAGCATCTCGGGCTGCCACATTCCCCAGAACCTGCCAGGAGCCAAACTCAGTGAATACACCTATCCGGCCAAGTTAGGGAAAATTCCCGTGAAAACCACCATCTTGCTTTTGACATAATCACCTGAAGAGTAACTAGACAACAGAGACATTCTGTTATTCGGTATCTCCTAGTTTGCAATAATAAAACTACAATAGCAAATGGGATATTTGTCCTTCAGGGTGAAGGGTGTAGACCATACGATATTATTCAACCACAAAAAGGCTGAAGGAAGTTCTGCTCCCTGCTGCCACATGGATGAACTTTGAAACCATGATACTGAGTGGAAGAAGCCAGACACGAAAAGATGAACAGTGTGTGATTCCCTTTCTTCGAAATATCCAGAACAGACAAATCCATAGAGACAGAAAGTAGCTTAGTGGTTGCCAAGAGTTGGAGAAAGGTGGGAGATTGAGAAGTGACCGCCAATTCATGGGATTTCTTTCCAGTATGATAAAAATATTCTGGAATTAAATCATGGTAATCAACGTACAGCTCCATGAATATGCTAAATATCACTGAATTGTACACTTTGAAAGGGTGAATCTCATGGTATGTGAATTATATCTCAGTGAAACTTTTTTTTTAAGCATGGAATTACCTACCTAAGAATAGGAGTAATGAGAGGGTAGGGAGAGGTTTAGGCATTTGTTTGAGATTTAATCTGTTATAAGAATATTTCAGTCCACTTGTTTTTCTCATAGGTATTCCAGAAAACACTCGGTACAGAAGCACTAATAGGCTTGGGCTCACTGTCTTTATAAACATTTGGCCCAAAGGCTTTTCTGGCCACAGAATGCAAGCCTAAATCAACAAAAGCTGAAAAATGTAATATGACATTCTTGGCCTTCAAAAAGGTGAGCACAGCAATACTTAACCATGGAATGGTCGAGTGTAAAACCTGCTTCCCCTCCTGCAATATGTTCTACGAGAAAACCTGCTGGTATCCAGAGCTGATGGAATCACTACCAGGTGAATAGACCTGTTACCCATATGTTACAGAAACTCAACCCCTTTGTACTCAGTGTTAAATACCAAAGTTTCTTCAAGAGAAGCTAGAGATCTTGCATGAATGAATGAATGAATGAATGAGGGACCTAGGAAGTTGCTTCATGCACTGGTTTTTGTGACGAGTCTGGTGATTGCCTTTTCTACTAGATGACAAGCTACTCCTCATACAGACTATTTCAACACCTTTCATCCACCAGGCGGAAACTTTACCCTTTGCCCCAAAGATGAGATGAGAAGTCTCCTGACTTCTCAATCGGCCCAGCAGAGGTGGCCCCAACTGCTCCTTCTCCACCTCATAGGGAAGTGACGCAGATGAGTAAGGATGTGCCCTTGCATGCTATGAGCTGTCTTTGGCAAGACTGGGGGGTGTGAATTCCAGGCCTTGAGAAATAGAGGCCTTCATTTGAGCCTTAGCTTCTTAACTGCCCATGTTACACCCCTGTCTTACTCACCTTGACCTGCTTTCTCTCTTCAGAGGCCTCATGGGATCCGGTAAGAACCAGAAGTCCCATCTGAATCACGCGTGTGGCATTTTGGCTTTCTCTCCGTTGGCTCTCTTTCCATTTGGTTTTCCCTCCTGCATTTAGACCTGATTCTCCTTCCCTGTGTCATCTCACACCTCCATGTCACTTCCACCTGGGGTCAGGAGATCAGAGAAGATGGAAGAGGGGCATTGGTTCGTGGCCAATTGGAAAATCCAAAATGTGTCCATATGGCAGCAAAAGTGAAGGAGAGGACCCAGTCAACCCTTGAAATCAAGGACACCCGTGGTGGAGGTGGAGGTGGATGTGAACTGCTGGTATAGATGTATCTGTACTGAAAGGGTCATGCCCCCAGCAGTGACTGTTATCCAGGGCTGGAAAGAGAATGAATGCAGGGCTCAGCGTGAGCCCTTCCTCCGGACCACAAAGCTCAGTTAGATAGAGAAACTTGCAGGGCAGAAACAGTTGTGAAATAAGTCCACCAGAGCACTAAACATGTCAACTGTCCCCTCTCTGCCTTCCTCCCCACACATAGCTCTCTCAGTGGCGATCCAGTCCTCCATTGACGCACCTGTAATAGGACATCACCTGCCCATCCTCACTTCCCTCCTGGCCTTATCGTCTTCCATCCGAGCACTCATCTCTGCAGACTGCCACAACAACAATCGCTACCTCCTCTACACTCTGACAGTCCTTGCCTGGTGCATGCCATACACGTGGAGCCAGTGGGCTGTTTCATGGGTCACAAATATTAGCAATCATGGCTTACTACCATCATTTCCCCAAGCTTAACTTTTATTTTCCATCTTCTCCCCAAAACCCTCGAGTACATAGTTGTATATTCTAGTTTAGGTCCTTCTGGTTCTGCTATGTGGGATGCTACCTCAGCGAGGCTTGATGAGCGGTTCTAGGTCTGTGCCCAGGATTCGAACCAGCAAAACCCTGGGCAGCCAAAGCGGAGTGCAGGAACTTAACCTCTCAGCCACGGGGCTGCCCCCTCCCCAAGCCTAATTTTAAAAGATGTATTCAAATCATCACGAGTCTTTACCTTACTGTCCCCTGGAAGCACCCCTAAGATGTCTCCATTCTGTTTCTCATGCCGTTCCCTCCAACTGGAATGTCTTCCCTGTCCCCTTCTGGGAAACTCCTATTTATACATCAAGACCCAGCTGAAATGTCTATCCCTGCCAGACTTCTTTGTGAGTCTGGTGGAGTCTATGGACCCTACTCAAAATAATGCTTTTTTAATGCATAAAATAAAATACAGTGGTTACACAGGGAACCAATTATGCTGAAATATAGTTATCAAAACATTTCTACACTGACTAAATGTAAATTTAAAACTCACTAAATAAGATCTATTGGTGGGACTAATAACTACTATAATTTCGCAATGATAATTGTAAGGGGTATTCTGATCTGTCACACCTGGAATTAGGGTGACCAACTTGTCCTGATTTGGCTCGTACTTTCCCATTTTAGCCCTGAAAATCCTGTGTCCTGAGAGTCCCCTGAATCCCTGGCAAACTGGGACAGTTGGTCACCCTGCTTGCAGTGTGCCGTGGAAACATCTGTGATCCTAGCGGGTTATGGTCACACGGCCAGTGCGCCTGTGTCTGCTGCTTGCATTCTTCACGGAGGCAAGGCTGTATTTCAGGTAGAGTCTAGAGGAAATAAAGATGTGACTGTTTTCTCCTGTGCAAGTTCATGTACCCCCAAATTCTATCCATGAACGGCTCCCTTCCAGGTTAAGAGCCCTTGCAACTAATGGGACAAAATTGGACCTAATTTCCCCTGAACTTTGTACTTTGTTCTTAGATCTACTATAACTTACAAACTATTATCATCGTTTATTTAAAAATTAAAAGAAGTCCCCAACACAGCAGGGCCGGCTGCCACATGGGGAAGGCTGGAGCCCTCTTACATAGCTGACTCAAAGTGGGTTGAACAACTTTGCCAAACTGTTTAGCAGTTTCTTCCAAAGCTGAGCAGACACCTATCCAATGACCCTGCATTTCCACTCCTGAGGATGTGCCCAACAGAAATGAGAGCTGGTGATCACCGAGAGCCGTACATAAGAATTTTCGCAGCAACTGCGTTCATAATAGCCCCACACGGGAATAACCGCTACGTACATCAAGAGGTGAAGAGACAAACAAATCATGGTCTGTTTATACAAGCGTATATCATACAGGAATAGAACTGAAAAATAACATCTCTAGGCAGCAATATTGATGAATCTCTCAGACATAATGGTGAGCAAAAGAAGCCAGCCACAGAAGGGCACATCATGCAGAATTCCATCTGTATAAAATACAAGAGCAGGTGACACTTGCCTGGGCATTAGAAATCGGGATAGTGGGTACCCTTTGGGTGGTGGGGGCATGAGAATCTGGAATAGTCTGCTGGTTACATAAGGTTCAGTTTGTGAAAATTTATTGAATCACACACTTGTGGTGTGGACTTTTCTGTCTGTATGTTACACTTCAGTGAAAACATTTCTTTAAAATGTTGGGTCCCCCGTTCCTGTCTGCTGCTGGATCTCATCCTTGCAGCCATCAGTACCAAGAAGTAACCTCTCCCTGCCTTTTCCAGTTTGTTGGCTCTGCGGCTTCACCACTCCTTTCCCCACCGAATGGGACCTGTGTTGGCGGGGCTCCCATCTCTCCTGGCTGAGGGCCACCACAGGCCCAGGCTCTGGCATGAACCTCTTCAGCTTTTGCTAGTTGCCTTCACAATGTTAACTCTTCATTAGTATTTCTGGCAGGCCAACAATTAGCGTGTTAACACTTGCCCGTGTCTCAAAGCAGCTTTTACCTTAGCCGACTACCTTTACACTATTTCGGGGAAAGGGTTTGTGTTGAATTCTGTGAGTCCAACAGTCCCAAGCAATGTCTGATAAGCCCTAACAGTGGGGGCACAATACTTCTTGCACAGACGTGAAAACTGATTCTCAAGGTGACTTCCACCTCCTGCAAAGATGTCGAGTAAATATACTGTTTATCGTGTGAGACGGAGGGCAGCTCTCGTGATAGCGAAGGCTGAGCTCTCCTCTGACAGATGATAACTGACGTCACTCGAGACAGAGAACGGCAGGACGGGGAGTAGAACCTGGGTCTCTGGTTCACGCCTGGTCTCTTTGCAGCATCCCCAGGGCCTCCCCTGAGAATGAAAACCACCATGGGTGACAAAAGTGTCACTGCTCTGACGTAATAGCTGGCCCCTCTTACCTGCTCCAGGTAACCCCACCCTGGCGGAGGCCTTTCTCCCTTTGGACATTTTCTTTCACATTAGGGAGAAAAGACAAACCACAGATCAAATTATCAGGGTAATTATGCTTTTAAAAAAACATCAGAGACAATGAGGAAAGTGGTGGGAGGCTGGAGGAGGCACTTCAGCATGGTGGCCCAGTCTGGCCTTCTCAGGTCGGCGTCTCTGCCCTTTCCCAGGCCACTCCTTTCTGGATCAACTTAAAACACAGCCTTCATCCTGTTACCCCCTGGCTCTACGTCCTCAGCAGCTCTCTGTCACTTACAAACATCCTATTCCAGAACACCTGGCGACACCCAAGATGAGTAACTGCCTTGGTGGTTCCTGATAAGCCACAAGGAGATTCCTCACCTCCCCTCCCTCCCCGCCTCCCTCCCACCCCTGCACACTCCTTCCCACCTCCCTGCCCTGAATCAGTCCCCCACAGCCCAGCTCCAGACACCAGCTGCCGTCTGAGCAGGGAAGGGCGGAGAACTGCGGAGGAATCCACCCTTCAATCAGTGCAGCACTTGCTTCTCCAGGCGGTGATCGCCCTGCGGGCTCGTGTTACTCTTCCGACAACTGCATGCCATGCAATTTCAGCCAGTGCCATGACAGGTCCTCACCATGCTGCCTTGGATTATTTTTTTCTTAAGTAATTTCATTGGGATTATAAGGGTTTATAACATTATGTAATTTCAACTGTACATTATTGTTTATCAATTCCTGAATACACTTCATCATGCTCACCCCTAGAAGTCTAATTTCTATCCATCACCATACACATGTGCCCCTTTGTCCCTTTCTCCCACTCCCCCATCCCCTTCCCCTCTGGTAACCACCAATCTATTCTCTTTACCCAGATTATTTTTTTTAACTAATTGTAAAGTGGTTGCATTCATCCCTGTTAAATTTCCTCTTGCTGCCTTTCCCTATCCCGACCTGCTGCGATTTGGAGAGTCGAGCCTGCCCTCTGGCACACAGCCCACAGTGGCAGCTTCGCTCCATGCACAGCTCTGACAAGACTGTCTACAACCAGGTCACCGAAGAAGAAGGGATAAAGGGCATCTAGATGCATCTACATTCTGGCCCCACGCTAGGTGTGGGGCAAACAGATGCAAATGAAACACGGTCCTTCAACTTCTGTGAGCTCAGCTGAATGTGTGAACAGCAATGGGATGCCCCAGATGACTATTTGGCTATGTGCCAAGTGCTATGGGACCCCCCACCCCCTTATGGAGACCCCTGACTGTGCCTGGGAAGAGTATGCTATAGAGGAAGGTGGCATTTAAGATTTCCATAAAGCAATAATCAAACTTCCAAGGATATAAAACCTGGACCCAGGGATGTTCTGTAACCCAGCAAGTCCACCCATCAGAGTGCACATCCAACAGAAAAGTGATCATATGTCCACCAACAGGCACGGGCAGGAATGTTCACGGCAGCACTATTTCTGAGCCCAAACCGGAAACCACCCAAATGCCCACCAGCAGAGGAATGGAGGAGTAGATTGTGGAATCGTCTCCCAATGGAATGAGCCATCTACAACTACATACAATGTGGGTGAATTTCACAGACTTAATTTATGCCAGACAGACACAAAATATTACATTCTGTATGATTCTATTTAGAGGAAGTACAAAATCAGGCAAAACTGATCTATGATGTAAGAGGTCAGGACAGTGGGCGGTATAGGGGAGGGGTAGGGACCTGACGGGGACACGAGGAGGCTTTGGGGCTACTGTCATCTTTGGCTTCCTAATCTGGGTGCAGGCTACATGGGCATATTCAGTTTGTAAAAATACGTAATGCTGTCCGCTCAGGATATGTTCGCCTTTCTGTGTGTACAGTAGAGCTCAATAAAAATAAAAAAATTGAGTATGGCTATTTAGACAGCTACACAGCTATCTAATAAGTATTATTTTCCAAAACACATTTCAGTTATTTCTCTACCATCCGTCCCTGAGCTCCCTTAGCTGCGTTATCCATCTTTACGCTCTGCTTTCCTTGGCACACCACGGCCCAGGCACAGAACAGACACTGGGTAAATCTCCAAGAAGCTGAAGTAGAGTGGGTGATTTCTCACACACTAATTTTCTGGACACAGCTAGTGTGACACAGCATCTTGTATCTTAATGACCACGGCGTTTATTTATAAATGCTCTTCAAAGCTCCAAGATCTAATCAAACTAGGAATTGATATAATAATGACCCGCTCATGCATTCTAGAACTCAGTCTTTCCTTGTTGCTTCTTTTTAATCCACATAATTTTCTATTGTTCATACCCTGGAGAGAAATACATCATAGTCCCTTGCACCACAGAGCACCCAGCCCTGTGGGATCAGTCTCATGCTCCCTGTTTTCTCAAAGATGTCCTACATTCAATTATATTCCTGATATAATTGCCGATGCCAGAAGACACGCTTCACGCGGCCCTGGCCTCTCGGCTCCTCTGAAGAGACTAATGTTCTGTCACTCATTCCTTGGCTGTTTGTTCATCTTCACAGGTGGCGAGCTGGGTGCCAGGCAGGACTGGAGCAGCTCTGCTCTCTCTGCCTGGGTTTCTTGCCTCGTTTGCAGCTTCCAGAGTTCCTCCCATCTTC